CCGAATTTTATCGGTCATAGTGTGAGCGCTGGGAGTATTTAATGGCATACAAAAGACTGAGTACATTTAAACTACATAGATAAAATTTGAACATATAACTCAATGCTATTGTTAATTAAATTCCAGTCAAAAGGCAATATTATCTTAACTAAACTAACAGAACATCGGCTCCTGTTATATGTTACCACAAGAGATAGAGAACGACACAGTTCAACTAGGCGTAGTGAATCCACATTCGAAAACTTATGATACCAGAAATAGCAAACACAATTTTCAAGTTTACATCTAACCATCAGTTACCATTAACATATACCACCAATGTTGACGATTCATAATCATTCAATCATAATATCAATACAGTTACAAATGAAAACGGATCAAGACGACATGTCAAAAACTAGGATGGAACAGCTGTCTAGTCCTACCCGGTTCCAAATACCCACATCAGTGATGTCAATCCGTGATGAGAATCACTTTGAAACCAGTAAATGTCTACAAACTCAGTAGTAACGTCACTGATTACACATTGAGTGAGGCGAAGGGAACAGTTCATTCTATGTTTGAGATGTGTGTTGTTGATGAGTGTCAACATGTGCGGAACTTAGGTCCAAGGCTTCCAGCCGACTGCCTTCCGACGCTTTGTAGTTTAGTAAGTGAAGTTTATCAAGGCTGAATGGACATGGACTGGATTGTAACTATCACTTCCTAACGTTCTCAACAGTTTGTTACCGGAAATTAACGCCTAAAGATATAAGCTACTTACCAATGGCATTATCTTTTGTTCACTACCACGTGGAGTCCTCCAAGTGCGAAGCAATCTGTTTATTTCAAAAACCATTCTTTGTATATAAAGGCGTCTTAAAACCAAAGACGTAAATCTGTATAGTTGGAGGAGGAGGGGATCCCACATTTTCATCAGTAATAAATTTTCATTATATTTAGCGTATGCATGCACACCGCCACTGAACTGTTGTCAGTGTTAGAAAAATGTTGCTGATGAAATGCATCAAGATGATCATTGAAAAGATGTAGTCAAAAGATTCTGTTAATTAGTGCATTATGTCTTAATTAATAGTAGGTGACAGAATGTTAAACTGAAAGAATATAAAGAAAACAGAATCTCATTAAAACGAGCGTACAAACACGTGGTCATCAGAGGTTTATTGAAATGCATATGAAGAATTGTATAGGCGTCCATGAACCAACTTGGATTTGACGTGCTCAAGATCTTAAGCTAATAAATATCGTCTAGTACGAATTATGAGAAGACAGTATTCGCTGAGAAATTTTGTTATACACTTTTGTGTTTTCTGAAGTAACCTAAATTATTGTATCTTCAGCTAGTTGTCCCATTCAAAATAAATAATCATGATGAAGTGAAATAAGTGATAGGGTGCCAGGTTCGAGTTTTAGGGTAACAACATCGCTCACTGGGAGCCGGGCATATTCAGCCACCGAGTCCTGAATAGGACGAAGCGTGCGACCCGGATTCTGCTGCTAGCGGCCATCCATCATTATCGTCAAAACTGATGTATTTTATTATTTGTCCTTTAGGTTCCTAGTGGAACCTCCATTGCACTCCCTTCTCTGCAGACTTTTCAACTTGGCTCTATGATTTCTCATAGGCTTTCGTCTCTTCCTCACGTGATTTCCTCCATGTCACCCTCTGATATCCGACTTGCCGTTTCCCATTTGGCTTCCACTCGTGGGTCTGGCCTGGCACGTGTTGTCCTCAAATGGTCTACTCAGTGTATGTCCATTCCAATCCCTCTCCACTTTCTTCTGCATATTTGTTCGGTGATAGGTTTCTTGTTGCTTATTCTTCCTGGCCCTCTGATCTTCACTATGGAGTGAGCGTATGCAGCAGCTATTGATGTATGTCTGTAGTTTGTTGGAAATGCTTATCGTAACATGCTAAGTCTCTGAACCATATAGAAGCACTGACTTGACGTCAGTGTTGAAAATCCGGATCTTGTTCCACATGCTAAGTGCAGTGGATCTCCACACAGAATTCAGATTAACGATGGCCTGTCTTGCTGTCTTTCCAATCCTGGCTGACTTTGACATCCTCGTCTGTGCCTGTACCGCCTGTAGTTGAAACAGTGCTGCCTAGATAGGTGAAAGAGGCTACTTGATTTAAGTTTCTTTCATTGATGGTGATTGTAGCTTGTTGTTGTTGGTTGGGTATCTTCATCACCTCTGTCTTCTCTACATTCACTTGAAGTCCCGTCTTCGCTGCCCTGCCTCACCTCTTCTGTCAACTTGTTGGATTTTGCCTGTAGATCTTCGAGTTTGTGCGACAAGACATTAGACATAAATCATCATCATCGTCATCAACGGTGGCGAAATCCCCATTTTCTTCTTTGGTCTCTTGATCGGTCCATCGTGTGGCCCTCTCCTCGCTCCTCACGGTTTGTCGCATGATCCGGCCCAATCGAGTCCATTCGACCATAATGAGGAAGGTCATCAGTGATAGATAGTTGGCAAGTGTGTTTCACTCCTGTCTTCATTCGAAAGGCGTCAGTGAGCTTTGCATTGATATGTATCATCCATCCTGATATGCTTTTGAATGAGGTTGATAAGGGTTTGTGACACTGAAACCGTAATGTTGAGGCAGCTGCCTGTCAAATTACTTGTTGGTCGACGCTGTCTTTTGCCTTTTCGGAATCGATGAAGATGAGGTAGAGAGTTGACTGGTATTCTATGCTCTGTTCTATGATGATGTGCAGCGTAGCGTTTCAGTTTGATTGGCACATGATTTATTGTTGCTGAAGCCAGCCAACCAAGCAGCCAGCCAGCAGCGAGCCAGCCAGCCAGTTTTCGTTGTAATTTTGAATGCAGAGGATTGTTTAGTCGCTTCAGGATGATGTTGGTTAATATTTTCTTTGGGATGGATGGGGGTGGAGCATGCTTCCTTGTCAGTTCTTGCGAAGACTTTGGTCTCTTTTCGTTGGTAGTTTGACAAGGTAACCGTTCTTCCAATCGGCAGGTAACCTTTCCTTCCTTCCAAACTTTTTGCGATAGTGGTGTGAGGATATCGTCAAAATCAAAAATTCAAGCAATATCGAGGCGTCGACGAAGGAGCCCGTATACCTGCAGAGACTGATCAATTCGGTTGAATCTGCGATGGGATAATAGTAGCAACATCCTAGTTGTAAGGTAATTCTAAAAAATCTGATTACCTGTTAATGTAAACACTTTTTACTGGTTTTACAGTATCAAATTTGGTAGATCACATCTTTTTTATGTAGAATAAAGGAAGCTATACACCTTGTCATCACCATAGTTTAAAACCTTTTTTATTCCTCTCGTAAAGAGTACTATAATAACTAGAAAGGTAGATATTTATCATCCGAAATCTTTGAGAAGTTTCTCATTCATTATTTACTTTGTATATCTTTCATATAAAAAGGAAGGAAGTCAGCGTATGTTTAGTCACTTATTGGGTTGAACGAAGATGCAGAAACGATGACGCTTAAACTGATAGTTTATTTATCATTTCTGAAAACATCATAGCAACAAAATGATCTAATCAAATCAGCCTGAAGGTATCTGTTATTCGGCAATCCTTCAAACATTATAGGTGCTTGGAAGATATAACAATTTTTTAGTAATGCAAAAATTCCCATTTAGACATTTAGTAAAACAAACAATGTGAGCGAAGAAATATTTCTTTTCAATTAGTTCCTCATCAATGGCTCTACGCTAATATAGCATTTTCAAACGTAAAATTACATACCAATCTAGTGGTGAGAGTTGTTCAATGAAAGGTGTTATATTAATCTCAAAGTATCAAGAAGGTGATAATTGATCAGATAATTAAGACAGTTAACTAAAGCAAAGATTAATTATCGTAGAAAGATTTTGTGAACAGGTTCTTACATAATTGATATTTTATATAATGATAACTAAAGAGCAAAAATGAACTGTTACGTAAAATGGTAAATTGTTGACGGCTGACAATTTTTTACTTGCATATCTGGTTATGATTTATTTTCAATTTAATCACATAATGTATACAAATATCTTCATAAATTTATTCGAAATTTTTCACTCCCTTCAAATCCTCAAGACTAATGGTAGCAATGAATTTAACTGACGGTCGAACTGGTCACCTAGAATTCAATGAATACGGTGATCGAATAAATCCGATTTACGATATTGTAAATGCTCAACTCATTAACCAGAATGTAAATGATCCTTCTTCACAAAAGTCGTTTGAATTCGAAAGGCCAACACTAGTGTCCGTTGGAAGTTATGGTGTACCTCAGGTATGGATATGAATATATATATATATATATATATATATATATATATATATATATATATATCTTCTACAGAAACTAATCTTATATGATTGATATTTCGGTATAGTTAGAAATGATTATGCAGACCAGGGTGATGTTAACGCTAATAACTGAATTCAGTTGGCTGGAAAAAATTTGGTTCTATGAGAAGCTTAATTTGTCTGGTTACACTGGTAATGAGCTCGATCTGAAACGACTGCCTAATGTTAAAATCGCCTTATTCTGGTTAGCGAAATCTGCAGATCAGTAGTGCATTTCATTGATTTATGACACTTTTTTGTTAGAGATCATCTTGGCTGAATAGTTTCCAACAAAATCCCTATCAACACCATAGGCATTTGAAAAACTAACCAGCTGTCTAGAAATGTCAATGTCGATAGCAAAGTTTGCTGGTAATTTACAAGTTAATAACCCTATCGTCATTATTGTCATAATTTATCGGTGTGAATTGAAAGCAATAGAAAACTATGAACCATTGGATTTTGACCCAGTGGCTGAATAGCAACATGCTTACCATGAGATGTAAAGCTGCTGAATTCGATTCCTGTTAAGGTCATGAGTGAACACCGACTGAAGAATCCCATACTAAGATGAAACAGCTGTCCAGTGTTCTCAAATTGTCAATGGTCTTACAACTAGTGTCACTCCATGATGAATGCTATCATAAAACTAGTCAATCCCTCTTAAACCTACAAGGTGAATTATCAAGACGGTCTACAGAAAGTTAATTTTTCCATGGAAATTAATTGAATTACTTTCTTTTCTAGTTTTGAATTTAAAAAAGAAATCAACTTTTTATCTTATCTTAGCTTTATTTTACTTTATTCTGAAAAATGAAACACATTTTATGATGGTAGACAACACCAATGGAATGGATATCTGATGAATTATATCCATCATTATTATCAATTAATATGAGTAAATTAATCTGGCAGGAAATAGTATTGTTAAACGTCAACAAATGGTTTGTATTGAACGGACCAACGATGGACAATGTCATAAGACAGAAAAACGACTTGTACACACTGCACCTATCAGTTTTAAAAAGAAAACCCACTTGAAAGTAAGTCTATTTACTATAATTCATCAATTAAAACAAAAAAAGAAAAAGAAAAGAGAATCAATTATTGAAAATCATTGATTAGTATTGTTTTTGTCTCATCACTAAACGATGCAGTGGATAATTATGGTTAAATTACTTGAATGACGACTGTTTATAAATTTCAGTAATGAACAAGAAAGTTGTTGACTGATTGATGATAGTCTATTTTACATTCATCCAGTTGTTTCCTGAGAAGCGTTGACTGTTGACCACTAACATTGTTGTGCTTTGATAGATGGTAATTAAATGGAGACAATCTTTGGGAAACCCTGGACCTAGGTTTCGTGCTTTCTGACACTCCTCAGCAAGGCGTATCTGCAGCCTAGATGAAACTGATGTCCCGCCTGAGATTCGAACCGCGTCACCTAGTGCTACGGTTACAGATATTAACACACCTTCTGTAGGACTGGATTATGCGATCGTGCCCCGAATTGCTTAATAGTAGTAGGTGACGCAGGTTTGGACCTCAGGCGGGACATCAGTTCCGTTGGGATTGCAGATATGCCTTGCTGACAAGTCATAAAAAGCATGAAACCTAGATCAAATGGGGCTTCTTGCCGATTACTTCCATTCAACTAATATCTATCAAAGTGCATGGAGATGCTGAAATGCCTAGTTTGGTGGCCACGTTTCAAAAATGATCGATAGAATTCGATCAGCACTTAGGATTAGACAACTTGGAGTTGGTAATTCTCCGGTTACCAATCAATTGTTGTGCTTTACATGCAGTTTTCTTCTGTTAACAGTCTACGGTAGTTAGATTGAGTTCGATAAAGATAAAATTGATTCGTGTTCCTATAAGTTCCTTCTTTGTCTTGCTCAGGTTAACTATGAACTCTTTCACAACAGACTGAGTTCTCAAGAATTAAAGTTTTGGCGTGATTCCATTTCCGCTACCTTATTTACATATGCACGTGGTTCACTGATGCAAATAAAACACACAAAATTATATGTTTCTTAATAATGCGTAATATAACAAAAGGAAATCTCGACTGTGTTAAAAACTTTCACTCATGAAATAAATAAATGTAGTTGAAAAGCAGCATAACTTGGTGGTTGGAACTACCTTTGAAAGTAGTCTATCATTTAAGGGAAGCAAGTACACTTAAAAAAGTTTTCTGCTACTTGATATGTGTCCATGAACGAAAAAATCCTTTGGATGTTCACGCTTTGATCACTTGTAGCCTTGATAGCAAGTCGGGAAGGGTAAAAATATTGTAACCTTAGCACAGACTAACATACTTCATACAGCAATCCGTCATCCTAACTAAAGAAGAACAATGAAAACAAAATACAAGCAAATTTGTATGGATCATTATTCTTCATGAATAATAAAATTAGTTGTATTCTAAACGTACCAGAATGTAATTCATTTCTGTTGATTGTTAAAACTGTAAGTCGAAAGACAAAAGAAATAATACATGAATATGTCCACTTCATTCGATTTCATCTTGCCATTCGACTACTCACTAACAATCTAGAAATGGAATGATCAGAAACACCTGCTAATTTGTATTTATATCAGTCAAATCGGATAAACGCTCTTGAAATAACTTCGCATTGAAAAGTTAGCCATTTCTATTCACTTGAATACCTTAGCATAGATAAAGTTGTTCATAAATGACAATGGAGGATGTTATCTCGTTAACTGGAGAAAAGCAGAACGAATCAGCAAGTCTTATTCCTTAGTAAATAATTTCGAAAAATAATTCTGAATCTGATCCCTTATTACCAGTTATTCAATGAAAACAAACTGATAAATTTGGTTCTCTTTTACTGCTGGTCTGAGTGCTTTTTGTGCAGATATCACTAGGCTGTTTCGGTAGCTAGTTGCTTAAAACTAGCCTATAGATTGAAGCTCATAAACTTCAGGGTCACTTCTAGTAAATGGAGAATACTTACAGTTCTCATGGAGCAGGACAAGCGTACAGGTGACTACATATTTTCAGATTTAGTTACTAAGTAAGAACTCGTTCTGGATTTTCTTTTATCCACGAATGTGGAAAAATAATTACATAAAACCTTTGGAATCTTAACTGCTAGATATTAGTTAGTTTGAAAAAAACGTCGGTGCTTTTTAGCACTCGTCAACAGGGCGTATTTGAAACCTTCAGCAGACTGATGTTACCCTAGAGATTAGAACCGACGTCAACCAGTTTTGCAGTCAGAGACGTTACCAATGATTGACCTCCCGAAGGACAGGAAAAACTTCACTGGTTGGTAACTTGCAAGTAATCAGTTTTTTTAATGTCTAGTTCTAATTGCGGACCGAATTCTATCGAACACTTCGCCATGTGTTGACCAGGCTTGGAGATGTAGCACTACAGCGCACTTTCGTTTATGTAAGATGACTAGAGGTAGTCGGCAGGAAGCCTTGGACCTAAGTTCCGCACATGTTGACACTCATCAACAACACACATCTCAAACATAGAATGAACTGTTCCCTTCGCCTCACTCAATGTGTAATCAGTGACGTTACTACTGAGTTTGTAGACATTTACTGGTTTCAAAGTGATTCTCATCACGGATTGACATCACTGATGTGGGTATTTGGAACCGGGTAGGACTAGACAGCTGTTCCATCCTAGTTTTTGACACGTCGTCTTGATCCATTTTCATTTGTAACTGTATTGATATTATGATTGAATGATTATGAATCGTCAACATTGGTGGTATATGTTAATGGTAACTGATGGTTAGATGTAAACTTGAAAATTGTTTGCTATTTCTGGTATCATAAGTTTTCGAATGTGTATTCACTACGCCTAGTTGAACTGAGCTCTTCACTTAACTGAACTATCTATCCTGACAAAAAATAACCGAGATAGCTGTTCTGTCAGTCAAATATCCTTAAATCAATACTTATTCAATTCATTAGATTGTGCGAATCAACCAATTTGAAACCATTTTTCAGCACGCATTACCATCTTCCTTCGTAGGTGATTTATTTTCGGAATGTGGTGAGAAGCTATGAAATATGAGTCCATTCAAGTCGATTATGATTCCAGATATTCATTGCTGACATTGCATTCTGTTGTTACTATATCGTGCTTTCATAGAATTCTACTCATTTGGACTATCTGATATCAAGGCATCTTCTGAATAGCAACGTTCTAATCATGAAAATGGAAGGTCTTAGGATTGGGTGTGCACCACTGTGTAGTTTGAAAGCAGGATGAAACAGCTACTCAATATCTTCAGAATTTGTACATTAAAAGTCTTATTACTCGTCATTAATAGTTTTATTGATACTGGGTGGTGGTTGAAGGTGAAATGATAATGTGGGCCACGGCGGGATTTAGACCATTGGGCACCGGGTTTCCGTCTGGGTGCTCTACCATCTGAGCTGCATGACCGAACTCTTAACCAATTTCACTCAGTATCAGTACAAGTCTAGCAAGAGAGTGGTATCTCAGATAGTCAAACTCATAATCGACATAAAGCTCACCCTCTATAATTCAGGATGATTTGGATTAAAAAGAATAACCACCTGTACAGCCAGTCTGAATACGATAAAGTGATAGTAAGGTATGAAAAATCCACATAGCTGTTGGATAAAGCGCTGTGTGATTGGAGTGAAGTAAAAATCTGGTAAGCATTCGGATATTCTAATTCAGTTGTCAAAACACCGGGCTAGCAACACAGTGGTTGCTGGTCCGAATCCAGTAAATGATTCAAGTTGCAAGTGAATATTGGTTGTCAACCATGATAACTTTTAATGGTAAAAAGGATATCAGACAGTCAATCAACTTTTTGAGGCGATTTCTTATTGAATATATTTATTCAACACACAGTATTATTCTGTGAATGATATTTCGAGCATGAATTGTAGTTCATATCCCTATCCCTATCTTTTTAACTTTTTTTCCTTTGGTTTTAATGAGTTAATCTAAAGGATACCCTAAAAACTAATAAAGTGACAAATTAGAGTTTTGTATTTTGCCGAAAAATCCACCTTTTCAGTTGAAATGAAGAACCCAATTTGTTATTTCAGTCGTTGCTAGGGCGACCTCTGAAGTCACTCATTTTAAATTTGCAAATATGTTCAAGATTGATATTGAGTCATTCCTATTTCATGTGTTTGCTGTTGATTAGATGAACAGAAATGAGGTAGTCAATCTCTTTATCCATTCTACTATATTGGTTTTTCGAACTGTTGCTTTATCACTCTTTATTATATGATTTTGTTGGTGGATGGATAGCAATGTCAGTATTTTCCTCTAGGTTACTTACTATGGTGCAGCTTATCATTCTGAATTTAGCTAGCTGTTTTGCTTAACTGATTGATCCCGTTCGGCTAGTTTGACTTATGTACTTAACTATGTCGTCATTACATGGCACGATAAACTAATTGATTATGATGTAACAAACTGGAATACTAACACATCAATCAGTAGAACTGTTGAAGGAGCTAGAAAGGAAGTAAACACTGACCTTGAACTCAACTACACAAGTAAAGTTAAGGGTTCAATTTGTCCTCTCCTACAGTTTTCATGTTTCAAGTTAAATCGAAGGATTAGTGATATGTTCGCTAGTGTCCTTAATGACGGCAGATTTCTTTATGGACAGTTAGGAGCGTAGGAAATGGGGTGTTTCAATATTCAGGATTTTCGTCTGTAGAAAGATGTCTTTTCTTTTATTATAATAGCATAATTTGTACTGAATGTTTAAAAAGAAAACTATTTATGATATTCCTGGATTCAGGTTGTTACAATTGAAAGTGTACCTTTCGTGCATACTCGTCCAAAACTGAGTGATAAGTGTAACGAGTCGGATGATCCTTTGGTTTTCAAAGCTGAGATAGAATGTATGCATACAGATCCTGTAACTGGTAGGTTTTTTGTTTGACTTTTAAACTTTAATATGGTGAATTGTTAAACGTGAACTAAATGTGTAATGAAGAATTTTTCTTCCTTTCGATTCTTTACAATCAGATTAAATTAGGTACTCTAGTTGTTCACACAATTTCTTTGCACTTTAACAGTAAACTCACGGGCCCACTAATATCTATTGATTGGTCACTGAGAAATATACACTTTCACATTCTCTACTTCTGGGTTCTCATTGAATTCTATCGGTCATTTTTGCGATGTGGCCACTAGGCTAGGAGATTGACGATCGTGGTGTACTTTGGTGAAAGGCATTTATCCGCATTGAGAAATGATCGACAGAATGTGGTCAGCACTCAGGACTAGACAACATAAAACTGGTTACTCATCAGTTACTGATCATAGTACCTATCCTTATTCTACAAGAGGCCTGTTGCGGCCCAAACTATTGAGTGGTAACATCGCTGACGCGGACTCGAGTCTTTGAGGGGACATCAGTTCCCTCGAGGTTGCAGATGGACGTTGTTGATGAATGCCAGCAGCTACGAGACCTGTGTCCAGGGCTTCCTGCTGATCGCTTCCAATTAAATAAAATGGCTTAGTATCAGCTGATGTGCTAAAGTTAAGTTTTGATTTTGTTGTTGTGTTCTCTGAGCTGCATTATTTAATCGTGGAGCTTTCGCTGTCATCCTAGACAACATCATCAGAACAAACTTCAGGAAGCAGTGATCTATAAGGTATTCTCTGCAGTTTATTGAGTAGGTGGCCTTGTGTGTGCACTGGTTGTTGCAGCCGAGAAAATACAGTTGTTCTCTTGTAGAGGCATCCCTCTTAGGTAAGTTCTCCTACTTCCTAACAACTAGAAGCGTTTGACGCTCGTAGGATTTTGAAATTATAGAGGATATTTGTAGCTCAGGAGAATAATTTTGATGATGTTGTGTTCTCTGAGGTGTATTGACAAAACGGAACAAATTACAAAACAAGAACAATGGCGAATGAAATCCAATGGATCTGTTCTCCCGTGTTTCTATGGTAGACCAAAAATACGCAAATCCAATTAAGACCAATTGTTTCACTTTTAGGAATCCCAACATACAACCTTTCAAAGAACTCTTCAGAAAATTAAAACATCCAGTAGAATCATGCGACCTCTCTGTCAACTCTTCGACACAATTTTTGGAAAAGATCAAGCATATTTAGGTTGACAAAGACAAACCGATGTTGTCTTTCGACGTTGCAGCTCTATACACCTCAATTGAACCAAAACTAGCTGAGGATACAATGGCTCTTCTCCTCAACAATGATACACACCTCTCGGAACACACACGACTAAAATGTTCCGATTTGATGGAATCAGTTGATTTGTGTAGTAATGCAATGATTGGAAACTGTATTATTGCCGTTGGTCAAATCAAAACTTTGGATCTGATATGTAGGTGAAACGTTTGTCACCATTAAAAGAAACGAATTGAAAAACACTTACAAACTAATCAATAACATTTTTTGATGACATCAGATCCATAATTGAAGAGGAGTCAAATAACAAACTGGTGTTTTTAGATGTTCTGATCCCTAGAACTGGTTTGGTGAAATCGGAAACTGAAGTATACAGAAAACCAACTCATACGGATCGAATCTTCAACTACAAGACCAACAACCCAACAGCACACAAATCGGTTGTATAAAAAATTGTTCAGAGGAACGAAACACACATCAACCCTGCCGAGAAAAGAACAGTACTATTTGATGACTGCTTCCCAGAAGAATGGCTATCTACGCAACCTCATAAAAAGTTGTTTACATAAATCGTTATGAACCAAGATGTCAACCTCGGAAACTAACAAACGGATTCTCCTACCTTACATGACGAACGTCTCCGAGATCACGATTAGATTATTGAAGCCTTTTGAATTCACCGTATCTCACAAGCCCACATACAATCTCTGTTATGCAGGCCAAAAGATGCAGTAGCAAAGGGAGACAAACCAAACGTTATCTACAAGATATACTGTAAACACTGAGCAAAATACTACATTGGACAGAGTGGTCACCCTAATCACATCCGTCTACGTGAACATCAACCAGCAGTGGAGCCTCATGACATATCTTTGTTCATATCAATGCATGCGGATAACTGTGGACATGAATTTGACTGGGAAAACGGTAAAAACCTAGATGGCGGAGATACAAAGAACACCAGAGAATTTTTAGAAGCTTGATATTCATGTCAGTCAGCAATCAGGGGATATATTGACATTGACCCAATTGACAACCAACCAAAATAAATATGGAACCTGACAAGACTTTGACAGAAGCAACCAATTATTCAAGAGGCCATCATTACAAGCTGCTGAGCATTTGCGAAGAAAACACTAAAGCTCATTTCTTTCCGGAGTTTGTGCTGGTAGTGTTATGTGCAATGAAAATGAAAGCCTCGCGATTAAACAGTCCAGGTCAGAGGACACAATGCCACCAAAATTATCATTATGAGCCACAAATATTCTCCACCATCCTAAAGTTTGTGACGCGTTCCTTACAGCACTATGGATTACTGTTTGCAAGTAATCCTCTAAGCTATCAGACATTTGTAATATAATCAACTTGTGATTATTATATATAGTTAATATCGCGTAGTGTAAATTTGTTTTTTGACTGAGTTACATTTCTACCCTGACTTTTTGGTTCAAGGAAACAAAAGCCCTATGTTTAGACTCCCCACATTCGCTATTTATGTACATGGACATGCCAGGGAACAGTATCCAGGTATTCGAACAATAAGGTCTTAAAAAAATTATACCAAAATTAAACTTAATGGATTTATACTTTAAAGATGGAACAGTTATACGTTCGATGTTGTTCTGTATATAAAAATATACAGTCATTTTCGCACCTGATGGGAATATAACTTGTATGCTTATATAAATGCGTTATAATCCTACACTAACTTTAAATATGGTTACTAAAACGAAGAAAAAAAGCAGACGTGAAAAGAGAATGAGATGTATGGACAAAAATGCTTATTTGTAGTATCAACAGTAGCGATGAAAATAACCACAGACTCAAAAATATATAAGATCAAAATACTTTACCTCCAATAATTACTCAGAAATAGGAAAGAGACAGATAACCTATGCAAGATCCGTATGGGAATTTTCAGTGCTGATAATGACTTCAAGAGGTGTAGCTCTGTTGTAGATAAAGGTAAGTCAAAAAGGTTGAGTAAGTTGAGCAACTTAGTGTTCAGCATTATGTATCGAAATGCTCTTCATTACATTGTCATGATCAGTTTCAACGGCTTGTGTAGAGAATGAATTTTAGAGTTGTTTTTTTTTTAAATTGTATGCATTCGGAAACTTGAACACATGTGAAAGTTTGGGTACCAAACAATAGATGATAGAGGCTATATGTTGGAAACTGATAGTTTTACCTAGGTTTCTAAACCTCGGCAGTCTGAGTGGAAGTTGAATGCCACATTACACCCACACATACACACCCTCTTATAGTCAGTAGTGAAGGCATTGTCCTTGTTACTTAAATATTTTCTGTTTGATTTGGAAATACTACTATGGATAATTTATTTGCTAGTGTTGGGTAAACATGTTATAGGCTATCAAATATAGGCAAACTTTTCAGAAATTTATGTAAAAATGAGGATGGATAGTGAAATTATAAGGAATCTAGGATGACTAGCGAATTCAGACCAATGGTAGGACGATTCTAAACTAGTGGTGTTTTTGTACAGGCTGTGCAACCTTTGAATCTAGTCTTCATTGCAATGAATGCTCCAAATTATTCTTTTCAACAGCTGTTTATAAGAAATTTTTCAGTACTAAGTACACAAAATGTCACTGCCATAAGATGTAATAGGAACCTTGATCATTTATTGCTACATTCTTCTTTTTATGCCAAGTATTTATCTTGACACTGCTTTTAGTTTATTGTTTGAATACTGTGAAAATTTGATGCGATGAACAAATGTTCCCGGTTCATAATTCTTTCATCAGTATTAGAAAAAAATATGTGGCGTAAATCCTTATGGTGACAGTAAAACGGTGAAGTGGAATGTCAAATGAAAACCTGTAAAAAACATTAAAGTGTTCTAGAAGCCATTTCACTTTAAGCATAAATAAGTATTATTGTTTAAGTTCATATATTTAGATCCCTTGATAAATTTGGAAAAATTTAGAAGCCCTGAATTTACAAAATAAAATGATATCATTTCATTTCACGAATGCTCATCAGCTGCGTACTGTCTAAGAGTACAATGGTTATTAGGATATAAGATATGCGATTAAAATGACAAGATCAGGTTACAGTCACCGTTTGCATGCATAAATCAGGTTGAAAGCGTTTTATAGCAATCATTTCCACGAAGCACAGTAGTTCAGATATTCTTTGCACGTTAATTATTTTGAAAGCACTCGAAGTTTCAACACAGTGTCCTATATCTGTGAGGTGTCTGACAATTGGATTGGTTAATCTTTTACTTTCTTTTCAAGTACCGATTCATGAGGATAAACTCAGTGCACTAAATAAACACCCTCCCCTGAGTGCTTCCAATGTACTTGCTACTGCGAGTGCGTTTGAATTAATAGATGAAATAAGCAGGGTATGTAGCCAGTTTTGATCGAATTTAGCAAGCGGACGGTACTGTGTACTGATACTAGTTTAGCTGCTGAAAAGCTCCTTCTTAGTATTGTTTTTATTTTTGTGTCTATCCTCTAGGATATTGCATCACCCTTGAATGTAAGGTGTATAATAATCTTCATTTTTCTTAGTTTGTTCTTTTGCATAACTCACAATGACTTTTTAAGGATATTCTTTCTTTCGAAGACACTTTCCAATAATGTTTAGTCCTTTATCTAACCTGTCTTCAGAACATATGTTCTTAGCTCTGCTATTGAATGTTTTGACTAACAGAAACTGTTATGGTCAAGGTATTGTCCAATTCAGGTATCTTTTCTATGGATGGTCTTCTCAATCGTCCCATTAATTCTTCTTC